TTGAGACTATTAAGATGCAAAGAGGACCGAGTCTCCACTGTTCTCAACACCTCCATGGGGCTGCCAGTGCTCTGGACCCACAGGCCCTGTGAGGCCTGGTCCCTGCCACCACTCCACCCTCGTTTCCCACCCGGCTCCCTCCTTCTCTGCAGTCGGCGACCAGCCTCCTTTTGGTTCCTGGCACTCTGCACACTCCCTCTGCACATGCTGTTCCCTCAGCCAAACCAGACTTCTCCCTCCTCCATCCGTCCCCCCTCCACTGACTCCCCCTCCTGCCCAGGCTGCTTCGAGGACTTTTGTTCAACACACCCCTGGTGCTCCATGCCTTCTCTTCCTAGCACCACGCTCAGTCTGCACTATAGCATCAGGGGACTGCATGGTTACCTCAGCCCCAACACACACACACACATACGCACACACAGTCAGCTCCGTTAGGCCAGAACCTGAGCTGGTTTTGCTCATTGTGGGATCCCCAGTGCCCAGACACGAAAGAGCTGAATCCATGCTTATTGGATGAGCCATAGGTGAGGGAGTGAGGCCAGGTACCTGCCTAAGGGCAGGGGTCACATGCCCTGGTTTGCTTGGAAGACCCAGTTTTCACCTGTTATCTGGTGTAATAATAATGGTGCCCTCATTCACTCTCAAGTGTCCCAATTTGGTGACACATTAAATGGTCAGCCTAGTTATTGGAAAGGGGAAGGAGTTCACCCCAGAGCTTCGGCTTTCCCAGCCCTCACACTGGTTTACCACTTTTCCCCTACAAGCCCAAAGCTTTTTCTTCTTGCTCTAGAAATCTTTTTCTTCTAATACTAACCCTACATTGCCCATCAGCTCCCAGAAATACGTAGGAATTCTATTTGCCCTTCTTACTGCAGAACTGTCCTCTCGGAGGGTTGCCACAGTGATTGAATGATGTCATTGCCCTGGAAACGGTTGCCTAGGAGATGAGTGATGTCATTTCCAGGAGATGATTGCCATGGCAACCCTCTTGGTGGAATTAGGGGGTGGCCAGGAAAGTGAAGGAGGGGTGGAGGGCGGATGCAGAAGGGACCACTGTGAACAGCGGAAGGAAAAGGGAGGGGGGTCGAGCAGGAAAAAGGCCAGGAAGAGGATGAGGATCATCCCAGAGCAGTAGAAAATAACACAGAATCACAGAATCTCCCAAATGGAAAGGTGCCCAGAGACTGCCCCAAACATCTGCCTCATTTTTAGAGGCTGCTGAGAGGTCAGGACTTGCTCAAGGTCACATCGCCAGTTTATAGGTGATGTTGGAACCAAGCCCGAGGCCTCATGACCTCCGATTTCTCGTATGGCCCATTGGTGGATTTGGCTGTGGAAATGAAGAATTCCTTTTGGTCACTTCTTTTTTCAAAATTCTGACCTCACAGCAGTCATTTACTCATGAATTCAACTAATTCTTATTGTGAGCTGTGAGCCAGGCCCTGTGAAGAACCTGAGTGACATTTTCATAGTCACTGTATGATTTTATATTTTTACTGTATTCCCCACTAGAGTGTTAGCCCCACAAGACCAGGAAATTCACCAAGGTGTCCGTCCCCACCCAGCACCCTGCCCGATACCTACCACGTAATAGGAGCTCAATGTGTTTGTTGACTGAAGATGGGTGATAAATGCCATCGTGTAGTGCAGACCCAGAGCCCAGGGAGGGGCTCACCATAGCTGGCAAGGAGGTGGGGTTTCCTAGATAGGAGAGGATTTGAATAGACCCAGAGCAGAAAGCCATTCCGGAAGGGAGGGTGATGACTTGAGCCAAAGTGAGAGAGAGGCTGAATGAGTTGGGTCCAGCTAGGGAGAGATTTCAACTGGCAATGCTTTGGTCCACCTCTTAAGTCATCCTGAAGCTGTCGTCCCTACAGATACCCCTCTTTCTGGTAGAAGGAGCTCCGAGGATTAAGAGGGAAAAGCATCGCGGTCCACATCGCTGGATGCACCTCAGGTTGGGGTGGGGCAAAATTTAAAAGGCTGATCCGGCTGAAGAGGCAGACGTCAAGGAGGAGATAACAGAGAAATGGGCTGGAGGAAAGGAAGAGATCCGTCCCACACTAAGGGAGACCTGGATGGTCAGGCTTCCAAGCCGCCACCTGAAGGTGACACATTCAAGACAAGGACAAGGACAGTGGAGCCCCACACAGAGGCTCTGCCACTTCCCAGCAGCGTGACCACGTAAAAGTCACTTTTCCTCCTGGAGCCTTTTGGTTGAAGCTACAACCTACTTCACAAGAATGTTAGCTTCAAATTAAAATGGATGTAAAGTCCCCTTCACAGGTGACTGCTGAGTCACCCGCAGAAAGCAGTTGGCTAACATCATTTTCCCTCCCTTTCCTGGCACCCGAGGGCTGTACTTTGGGAAAATGAACTTGACAGTGGATTCCTTCGTCTTTAGTTCACCCAAACTTTTGGAGCCCTTGCTTTGCTTGGTGCCATGGGGGTCCACAGCGGTGGAGGAGACAGGTGCCTGGAAACTTGGAATAATCGTGTAAGGACAGACCCACAGCCACCAGGCAGGAGGCTTCAGCCAGATCAGAAATTTCTTAAGTGACACCACTCCACTAGACCCTGAGGGAAGGATCTGATTTGGGTAGGATGTCAGAGAGACTGGAGAAGAAAGCACAGAGACCAGAGAGGTGGAGGGACCAAAAGTTCTAAAACTTTTCTAGAACTCCTTTTCTCCAGGTGGGGATCGAAAAACCCACAGCATAGGCTTGCCCCGGGTTTTATCTCAGTGTTACCTCTTACTGGTTATGTATCTTCTTACCACCTGATACCTCGTTTCCTAATCTGTTCAAAAGATCATCCCTACCTTCCAGGGTCACTGTAAAGATTCAGAGGCCATGCGCTGAAAGTGCCCAGAACACAGAAAGTGTTTGAAATGGTCATTTTCATCAGCCTCCTAACGGCTGGGTTTTGTAATGGAAGATGATCTGTGAAGTCCCACCCAGTTGTGAATCAGCGTTTGTGCCTGCCAAATAGTTGGAGGGTCTCCTGAGAACTGAGGACCCGCCTTGGCCCTTGAATGGCAGGCCCGACAGTAGAATACACCCTACTCTAGAGAACCAAGAGGCACCCTGGGCTCTCCAATCCCAAGTGATTTAAGATGGCTGTATTTACCCAACAATAGCTCCATTATCAAGAATCCTCTTTCCTCCAGCTCAAACAAATGGACCTTTGAGCAGGGTTTGAGGAATTACTGAGAATCTGAGCAACAGCACCAATATACTGAAAAATCCCTTTCCAAGTGTAACTCTGTGTTCAACTCTTAAGTGAAAGCATTGAGAGCAGGGAAGTGTCCTCAGAACAGGTTGTGTCACATGTATATTTTTTGTCTCACCCCCAACACTGTGGCACAGTGAAAAGAACCAGGAACAAGGATTTAGGGGCTCTGAATCCTAGTCCAAGATCTGACGCTAACTTGACTCTGGAAAAGCCGTTTCATTTCTCTGGTCTTGTTTCCCTTGCAGTAACACTGTACTGACCCCATCTCATCTCATAGATGTATCCTGACAAGCTTAAAAACATCACAGTTTGCGGAACTGGAGGGAAACCTTTGGGATCACACAGCAGAGACTTCTAGCTTCATGCCACGTGTAATTTGTCACTCCTGGGGCTAACTGGGATTGTGTGTCCATACTTTCCCCGACCTGTTCCCAGCCCCAAGAGGATGCCTTACACACAGTACTTTGAGTTGAGTAAGAGCTTATATTTCATATCCTATTCTTAAAAAACGAGGGACCTGAGCCTCAAAGGCTGTCAGCTGCCTGGAGCCCAGCTGAGGGCAGTCAGGATTCTGAATGAGATGTCCTGGGCAGAGGCTGTCCTCTGTGGCACCAGCTGATTCCAGAGGCCCACCACCTCAGCTTCCTCATCTGTGAGGTGGGGACAAAACCTTTCATCAGACAGCTGTGAAATGAAAATGTGAGCGCTTTTCCTAAATGTAAGAAGGTTTAACAGCTACATATGTTTCTCAAAGCCAAGCATCTTAGCCATATGAAGCTGTAGCTTTAAAATACCTGACCTACTAATTGAAGCAAAACTCCATAACCATTTTTGCTAGCAATTAGGGCAACTTCAAACAGGCTTCCTGAGGGCTATTTATTAGCATGTGGGTCATACCTCTACATCGGGATGCGAAAATAGGTGAAACGTCTGTGCTTACAGGTTCTGAGCTCCAGCACAATGTAGGTTCAAGGACAGATGGGTCGTGGCCATTCCCACCAGTCTAGTGTCACGCTTCAGTCAAGAATAAGGTGTTTAGGACTTTTGTGTAACTGAGCCTATCCCCTCAACAAGCACATTGGGTCCCAGACACCACATCGGAGGTGACGGAAATGGTGAGGGGCTGGAGCCCACACCCCCCAGGGGAGGAAGAATTCAGTTGGCAATGCTGGGCCTCACGAGCAGCCTGGGGTGCAGGCAGACGGGAAGGGTACACAAGGGGTCAGGTCTTTCTTAAATTCAGAGGGAGGTCTGCTATCCTATTTGCAAGAATACACAAAGCTTTCTTAATAGTGATCACTGAGGATTATTTCAGGGATCCAAGTTGCTCCCCCTACTAAACACTATCCCATCTAATGCAGAAAGAGTATTAAGAAAATCTGAGGACTTGCACCTACTTTGAGTGTTAAACAGCAACCAACGTCCCAGTAGGGTGGGTGGAGCAACACCTCCCCAAGTCAGGCACAGACCCACCTTCCAGAGAGGAGGGGCTGCACGCAGAACACAGCACTTGGGTCTGCTCGGCTCCCGTACAAGCACCAGCACCAGTGAGAGGGGACCAGAGGCTATGTTGGCTGGGTTCACAGGAAACTACTGAAAATTAGTGAGTCTTACGTGTATCTTGCAAAACGTGTGATGGAATTAGGGCATGAACATTCACTATTCTAGAAATGGTTCAGGGTCTGAGAGATCAAACCAGGGTTCAACATGGTGAGCGGTGACATCGCTCCTTGAGAGAAGGGAAATGAAGACCATACACATGAAAATAATATCCCCAAAGCAGCATTTATTTACCCACTGAATTCCAAAACATTTAATTTAGAAGTCTGGCATTTCATAATCACCCATCTTGATTGACATGGGCTAACGCACGTGGCGCTGTCAGGATACACAAGGACAACAGCCAAAGAGTTACAAAAAATAAATCCATGATTCTTAAACAATAGCAACCAAAACAAAAAAAAGTTACAGGTATCAAAACTTTAGATGCATTGCATTGAAAAGAAGGTTTGTGCACATCATAATTTAAGGAGGCAAAACAAGGCGCTACCGAAACCTCACGTTAAACAGTTTATTATTAAGCCGATGGACAGGAGCAAGTGGTCTCTTTGTCTCAGCTTCCCTTGCTTTCCATGAGCTGAGGGAAGAGGTGGGAAGGGTGGATTCATTTTCGCATGCACAAGATGAACTGCTTAACAAAACACTATCAGCTTGTTTAAATGGACCTTTTAAATACCGACTGTAGCCTGTGTTGGCTAATTCTCCTTTTTAACTTCCCCACTGCTTTCGCCTGCATTTCACCTAGACCAGCAGGCAGAGTAGAATGCCTCCTTCAGAATGCACCTGTCTGCACGATTCAAAAAGGGATGGTGGAGAGGAGGGGGGGGGTGTTGGGTTCAAAGCAACCGTCAGTCCAGCAATGCCCATGAGTTGATCTGGAACTGCTTCCGGGGGCGGAGAGCAGATCTGAGTAGCTGTGCTGCCGCACGGGTGGGTTTAGCACTAGGTATCTGGTGACTGTGGCGCGGAGGGGCCGGTGTGACGGGGTGGGGGCGGGGCTGGCCGAGGCTGCTCAGTTGCCTTCTCCGGCCTCCTCGTCCTGCTGGTCGCTGGTCCAGAGGGTGAGGTTGTCTCGCAGCAGCTGCATGATGAGCGTGGAGTCCTTATAGGAATCCTCGTTTAGTGTGTCCAGCTCGGCTATGGCATCGTCGAAGGCTTGTTTGGCCAAGAGGCAGGCCTGCTCAGGCGCGTTCTGGATCTCGTAGTAGAACACGGAGAAGTTGAGGGCCAGGCCCAGCCGGATGGGGTGCGTTGGCTGCATGTGCTCTTTGCTGATCTCGAAGGCTTCCTTGTAGGCAGCCTCCGAAGCTTCCACCACACTGTTCTTCTTCTCGCCGGAAGCCACCTCGGCCAGGTAGCGGTAGTAGTCGCCCTTCATCTTCAGGTAGAAGACCTTGCTCTCGTACTGGAAGTCGTTGCAGTTCTTGATGAGGAACTTGTCCAGCAGTGCCAGCACGTCGTTGCACACCGACTCCAGCTCCTTCTCGATCTTCTCTCGGTAAGCCTTAACCTTCTCCAGCTTCTTCTCGTTTCCATCAGCCATGGTCTTCTGCTCGATGCTGCTGATGACCCGCCAGGATGACCGCCGGGCCCCGACCACGTTCTTGTAGGCCACGGACAGGAGGTTGCGGTCTTCGTTGGAGAGAGGCTCGTTGAGCTCGGTCACCTGCAACATCCCCAAAAGACGGACACTGAGACCTGAGTCTGGAGACCTTGGAGGGAAATCTTCCCTTCAACCCAGTCAATCACCCTCTTCACAAACAAGATGATGGACAAGTCACTTGAGAAAAACCAGTCTGACACGGACCCTATCTGAAGGGAGACAGCAGTCTAACAGAAGAGAGAAATAATCGAAACAAACTATTAAGTGATGAGGACTCTGAGAAATCCTTAATTCAGGCCTTCTAAGATGTGAGGCGGTGGAGCACAATGGCAGGGGAAAAGCCCTGAGGTTCGGCTATTCTGCATGAGATATTCTCACAGTAAAATCCTACAATTCCTTTGCCAAATGCTCAAAGATAATTACAGACTGGGAGGTCTGTTCCAGATTCTACTTTCAGCTTTTACATTAGAAAGGATCAATCACACCTCCCTGAAATACTTATTAACGGGTAAAGAGCTTCCCGGGTGAGATCAAGGCCCACACAGCTCCAGGGGCCAGGTTCTGCCCTGTCTGGTTATACATGGACCACCACTGGGACACCCAGCCTTCCCCCAACCCAAAACGGATGCGTCAGTGGCAGTAAAGTGTCTCCAGCCTCTGCTAAAAGGAAGCACAGCTACTCAGCAGCAAGCTTTATTCTGACCTACCTAACAGGAAACCCTGACTGACCTTCAAGGATGAAGTACCAATTACTTTAAGTGGAAATGTTAAATCTCACAAGTTGTAACTTCCTTTAGTTAGTTCTCCATGGTGCCAACTCCGAGTGAGTGAGCTATGTAGTCAGAAGGAATACTGGACTTTGCTGTGTTGAATGTGCCCCCCAGTTATGTTGAAGTCCTAACCCCTGGTGCCTGTGAATGTGACCTTATTTGGAAATAGGGTGTTTGCAGATGTGATGAAGTCACACTGAATTAGGGCGGATCCTAAATTCAATGACTGGTGTCCTTATAAGGAAAGGGAGATTTGGAGATGAAGGTCATGGTCACGTGATGATGCAGAGACTGAAGTTGTATGTCTACAAAAGCCAAGGAACTCCAAGAGTTACCAGGAGCCACCGATGCTAGAAAAGGCAAGGAAGGATTTTCTCCCCAGAGCCTTCAGAAGAAGTACAGCCCTTAATCTCTAACTCTGGCCTTCCAAACTGCAATAAAATACATTTCTCTTCTTCTAAGCCATCCAGTTTGTGGTGGCTTTGATTGGCAGCCCCTAGGACACTAATGCAGGCTTAGAACCAGAAAACTTTGGTCTGGGCCCCAGCAAAGCCACTAACTTGTTAAACTGGCCTGTATCTTCTGTAAAGTAGGGGAATTCTTTAACTATATGACCTACAGGGAAAGGTTTTAATTTTTAAAAAAAAGAAAAAGAAGAAAACTTAGGAAACCATAAAACTCAACAAAGAAGTATTATTTATATCAAATTATAAGGACAGAACCTACTCCAATGGAAGGGAAAAGCCAGGTTTGATAAATTATAAACAGTATATTAAAATAGACATGCATACCATGGACTAAGATGAATGAGCAGTGGAGAATCAAGAGATTTTAATCAAATGTAATCATTATTACGCATAAAACTAGAAAACCTGTGCTAAGTTCTTAAAAAGCGAAACAAGCAATTGTCTACCACCTCTCCCCTCCTCCACAAACCCCAGACAAAATAAAAACACCAGCTCTCTCTTCTGATGTCCCCATTTCCCTGTCCCCAGTACCCCATTCTTCTGCTGCAAATCCTTAGCCTGGGATGGTCTCTCCCTGTCTGCCTGGTCAATCAGCCCTAGCCCACCGCTTCTTCAGTGCGTCTTCAGCTCCAAGCGGCCCCGACCACCCGCTGCAAGGGCTGCCTGCAGGCCGGGTTCCTCACTCCTCCCCACACAGGCGGGAGTGGTTTCCATATAGCTCCCTGTGACCCACCCTAGTCCGGGCAATCTCTCCTCTCTCCTTAACCCCAATCCACGCTCCCTTCGAGACCTGTAACCCCACTAATTTTCTCCTCCAGTGAGTGCCTTTAACACTCACACATACGTTAGTTTACCTAGAAATTATAAAAAGACGCTGTAGCTATTTTTCTGATAATTTGGCTTTTAAGGAAGCAACTCTTATAAAATCAAAATTCCATCTCAAATATTATGACAGATCTCAGAATGCCAGAATACTTTAGAATGACATTTTACTAAGGCAATATTCAATAAAACAAAACATGAGGCAAGAAAAGGATTTGGAAAGCTCCTCAGATCTCCAAGTAAGTAAATCCAACCAAGGCCACTTGATATTAAAATGCAATGATATCCATAAGGAGCCACTATACACTTCATCCCGCAGCTAATAAAGCTGCCTTTGTTGGACCACAGCAACGATACATCAGGGAATGTCCCCAGAGTACATCACTAAAACTAAGTGCATGTCTGAAACATTTATGTATCACACATAGTGTCTGTACAAGGGACAGCATCATCACTTGAAAAACTCCTGAGATATCTGGAGTTTAGCCCGAGCTAGCCATGTGACCTTGAAGATAGTAACTTTTCTGGGCATCAAAAATAAAATAAGGGGGACCAACCCAAACAACCTCCAAGGACTTCCTCAGCACTAAAATTCTAGGATTCCGTTTTTCCTGAGCAACAACAAAAGGTGTGGGAAGGCATGAGGTCAACAACAATGACATGGATGAAATGTGGGTGTATCCGCGGGTTTCAGGGATTCATGCATCCCTTCTCCATCAGGAACAAACTGCCCAAAAAGGCTACCGGGCGATACTTAAAATGACATCTTCACAAGAAAAATCGTTTACGAGGAGTATTAGTGTTTACGTAACAATCCTCTGGTTGCCTGCCAGTCTGAATGAATCACGGTCAGCATCAGCTGAGCGTGACTAACCACTAAGCAAGCATTGTTGTCAGAACCCCAGCCAGGGCCTAACTAGGAAATAACTAGATACGTTTAAATATGGTATTTTTTTAACACTCCTGGGTTACAACTCGGTTAACAAAGGGAAACCTATGGGAGGAAGATAGTTTTATTACTTGATCAGATAACTAAAGAAAACCAGGAGTTTTTCCCAACTGGAAAATTAGAGACTGAAGTGAAATCAGACGGCCTATTAAAACAAACAAGATTTACAGCCAGTCTTGACTGGTGATACTTCTGGCAAATAACCTGCATTAATGTTAGTTGGCACGAGTTCCCAACGCTTCAAGCTCCAAAATACCGGAGCCAGGAGATCTAAAGAAAAGTATGGTCACCCACAAAGAGAAGCAGATGGGGAGGCAGAGCAGTGTAACAGGAAGGAAAGCAGGAACCACGGTCCCAGTCACCCCAATGCTGCCCTGGCGGGGCCATCACCTGCAGATTCAACAGAGATGACTTACTGCACCTCTACAATCACAAGTTCCAAATGGTTTCTAATTAGGCACATAAAGACCAGACACAGAATTTTCGAGACAGAGGAGACTAAGGCCGAGGTTCTCAGCCTTCCTTCTACTACAGCACCGGTTTTCACGTTCTCAGTTCTGCCACACGCCAATTCCAGACGCTAAGTCTCCGGGTGGCTACACCAGCTCCAAGGGACCCCCACCTCTGCTCGCAACCTCTGCCCTCCTGCCCACCTCCTGGCCCACATCATCCTACCACACTCCCCCTGACACCCCACCCTGAGGGACCGGCACCATCTACAGGTTCGTCTCCATCCCCTCTGGGGACTGTGCTCCCCACCGTCCTCCCCACGCGGCCCTCCCCAGCGGCCCAGGGCTGCACCAGCTCCCTTCCCCGTTTACTCTGCTCTGGACTACATAGCATATCTGGAAGTCACCCACAAACTGGTCAGCAGCTAACTCATCTGTCTTCCTATGACACCATTCGCTTACTCAAAAATCCCTAAGGGCCTCCTCCCACTAACTCACAAGGCAATAAACTATGTGTTTGTGAGTAAAAATAGATCTGCTGCCAAAAATAGCACAGAGACTGTTTGGGAAAACTTAAAAGTTCTCAATCTGGGACGCATCCAACTTCAAAAAGTAATTCTGAGCAAACACAAAACCACCACCCCTGAGCAGCCAGGCCACACCCCAAAGTCAGGGTTGAGGTGACCCGTGAACAGGGCTCCCACCCTGCACAGCCACACACACACAGCCCCCACCCCACCTTTTACAGTTGCCCACATGCTACCAACAAGTTTACTTTTGATGTAAGAGCTTATAACAGAAAACCACCCTCACGAGCAACCAGGTAAATATAACCACATCATAAAATCTTTACGCTTCTTTGGCAGAAACTGTATATATTTTTTAAAGTGAACTAGAGGGATGAGAACTTTTTTGGCTCACTTTCCCAAGCTGATGACCTGAAAGTGAGGATTCTGCCTGGTCCCAAGCAAGCAAAGCATCCACCATCAGTCACCACTTGCCCAGGCCTGGAAAGACCCCTCTGCCCTCACCACTGGCAAGGCTGCAGTTCTGTAAGGGGAGGGGCTCAGCTTCAAGCTCAGAGCAAGTGAGTTCAGGTAATTAATATCACTCTAAGCTTAACATTAGTCAAAACAGCTACCCTTGTATTGTTGAGAGACTGCCTTTGTCTCACTTTTGACATGACTGAACAGTTTCAGAGACACTGGCAGGGATTAAACACAATCCCATGTGAACGGCAGTGCTGAATGCTACTGTCCCTGCAGGCACCAAGACTGAAGGCTTCAGAAGCTCCAATCACAGGGAACCTGTGCCAACACCCACCACCAAAGAGGGAATGCAACTGCGGGCAAGGAGCGGCAGGAGGGGCAGAAGACAGGTGGCCTCCACCCGGATGCCAGGGGAAGTCTTACCAACAACCCAGACACTGAAATTTGGGGGCCTCTAGGCTTACAAAATATACTAAAGGCAATAGGGAAAAACAATGCCTTAAAATACCACAAGTATAATTTAAGAGTCCTGTACTTCTTAATTTATAGCGGGAACTCAAATTCAATTAATACTTTTGCCTCTTAAGCTAAAAAACACTGCTGGCCTTCAGGAAAATAAGCACAATCCAGATGTTTGAGTCTGCCTTTTATGCTCCCCTGCTGTCACTAACCCATAAGTGGTAGATTGTGTTTTTAATCAAAGTTGGTAAAAATGACTTACATCTAATAGAGGGAATTATTTGCTCAGGAGGACTACTTATGTTAATGGCTTGGAACTTAGACACCAATGATGACAATGGCTGATCAACCAGAATGTATACTAGAAACAGCCCCATGGTACATTATCGTAGTGGTTAAAGTGAGAGCTCTAAATTCAAGAGTTCAAATCTTCACCTTACAACCTGACCCCGAGAAAATTAATCTCTTCAAAACTCATTTGGAAAAATGGAGTTAATAAGAGGATCCACCCAGAGTTGTTCTCAGGATTCAATGAGAAATGTACACATGGAATAAAAGCTACTATTTACTGAATGCCTAACAGATAAACTGATAAATTCCATAAACTTGATGAATTATAACATGGAAAACACATTTGGGCTATCTGCTCCCAAACTGTATTCTGGAAAAGTGTAACACTGCAGTCTACTACTAATATAAAATCCCAGACAAAGGTGAGAAAATACATTTTGGGCTTCTTTAAGGGAGTAGTGGGGGTCCTTGACTGTGGGAGCTCTTCTGGGGATAATTCAGGAACCCCAAATCCAGATGGCAACAACTTCCACTTTGGTGCAGCAGCGCCATGTGAACTGCTCACCAATTCAAGTGCCTTTTAATACTGCAATAAAGCAGGGCCTTCTTCCCGCCTCAGCCAACCCATGACAAAGCAATACTTACATGTGAAACAGGGCTTACTAGTTTACATAAATTCAAACGGTAGTACCAATGTGGCTGTAAGCTGCCACACTAACCACGATTCTGGTACACCTCAAAATCACCCCTAGTTTCAATACCTGCCACATGGGTTCGGTCTCCCCCTGGGCCACTCTGCTGTGCTTTTACAGACCACGCTTCCTGTAACCTGACAGCTTTTGGAATAACAGCCTTTTGCCACTGGTTGGGCCAAGTGCCTCTTCCTCTCCGACCCTTTTCCTTAAGCCACAGCTTTCCTTCCTGCACTTAAGATTTCTATCGATATTCTCCAAGTCCTTCACACATGTTCCTCCCTGTCCCTTGTTAGCTCTGTAATTGACCATGTGTCAATGTTAAAACACACCATGACATCCCAAATAACTTCTACATTTTAGACCTTCACAATTACCATCTATGTTTTGAAATTAT